TGGAAGTGATTTAAGGGCATTAAAGAAATGTAAAAGAGACTGCGGTACATTAATTTATATAGCAGGAACAACAAAATAAGCACAAGGAACACTAGCAAAAGCTGTATCAATTGAGAAAAAATGGCAACCATTTTGACAGTCCTGGGAAGGAAAGATGGATAAACTCTATCCTGTTACATGTTTCCACTTAAATTTCACCTTGACTTCAAAAAAGCTATTTTCTTAGTACACTGCTCTTGGATTATGTATGAATGGGGAATACCTTCTGCTAGTGGCACTCAGACACATATATTCAAATACCCTTTTCCAATGACATTTGCTAGAGTTCAAGTTTCCTTATGAATCACCACATGAAATGACATGTTTTAGTATATTCAAGCTGAATACTAATCATACAATGTAAAGAAGCATTTTTAGGAAAGAATAAGATTAAAAATAAAACCTTTTGGAATTCCAAAAACATGTCGGAAGAGACAATGCAGATGGAGCTTGGGAGAGGTGCACAAAATCAATCACAGAAGCACAGAGGCTGGAAAGGATGTCAGAGAATCTCAAATCCAACCTCCGGCATAAAGCATGTCCAGCTGGAGCAGGCTGCTCAGGGTTTTTGCCAGTTGGATTTGGGTGCCTACAAGGAGAGAGGTTCCTTACTGCAATATGGCAGGGATAAAACCTGACTAGAGCTGCTGTTCATGCGACAAATAATGACCCAAGTGTTTCAGCAAAGAGATGGAAATGTGGTCCACGGATAAGGTGGGCCACATATATTAATTCTGGCCATGGTGACCTGGCATTTCATTTGAAGTGTAGTAGTTCTGTTCCTAACTGCTCTGCCTGTATTTTGTTGTTGGGAAAACAGTTTAAAAACATAACAAAGCAAAACCCATAGTAGCTGAGAGAAAAAATAAAAAAGGTGATATAGTTTGAATCACATTGATTGAGAATGTCAATGCAACATGTTGTTTTTACTCTTCAAGAAAGTTCTCCTCATTCCTGACCTACATTTGAAAACGTCAAGCTTCCCCAGACAGAACTTTAAGTCTCCATGGTTCATAAGAAATTATGGATTGCATCAGTAATGCCCTAAACATGAACTTTTAAATATTGGCTTTTCAAATAACAACCAAAGGACCAGATGATGCCAAGTATAAATATTGACCTATGAACAATGACTTAGACTGTCTGCATGACGCTTTGGTGTTTAATGGGAACTAGTATCCAGCTGTCAGTTTTGATTATCTTAGTTTTAATCCCTCATACCAAGATTACACATTGTGTACTCAGCCTTAGAAGTAAGTTTCCTTTGTTTCTAACTCTGTAGTAGAAGACAGTTAAAGCAGGCCCTTCTGAACTCAGTAAAAAAGCCCTTAAAACAGTGGGAGCCTCAGATACATGAAAGGTTTATAATTAGTCAACTTCTGAAAACTCTTGAAAAAGATACCAGAAATAGAGTACCCCTCCAGATTCCAAAATACTTTTCCCTTCCTAATTAAAGAAAGTATAAAAGCAGAACTGAGATCTAAAACACATTTCAGATATTTTCATCTGCTATGCAATCTCAGGAGTCATGTATCAATTACCTCTAGAAAAGCTGCTTGGAAACTAGAGCCTGTCTGGGTGAAATTAAAGGGAGTTTTATCCTTGCCTCACAGATGATGCAGGAGCACCCTGGGATCCCATGATTTCTATGCCCTATTATCCTGAGTTTCAGTGAGAGTTGTACTTCAAAGCCTTTTTGGTTTGAAAAATCAGAAACAGAGATCCGAATGACAATGTTTCCCTCTTATTTTTATTTCTATATTAAAAGATTAACTGGACATTCACTGTACCGACATCCAATTCAGAAGTAATGCATGGTCTTATCTGGCAAGAGCAGGTGAATGCAGCCAGCCTCTGCATTTACCAGTCCAGAACCCAAATCAGAACACCCCAGCAGCATTCACCAGAAGAGGTGCAAACACATGAAGCATCATTTTGCATATAGTGAAAGGTCAGATATTCCCATAATGGGAGATGCAGGGCATCGTGCTTCTGAATACACATCCATATACAATTGAAAGGAATTAAGGGCTTTTTTTACCATTTCTTCTTTTCACCTCTAGCCTTTCCCAAGGGCTATAATTTTATATATATATCTGTTTATCAATATGTATTTCATATTTAGAATAGTGTGGGATAAAGACCTGGACGTAAGAGTGAGGCAAGAGAGCTGGTTAAGATTCAAGGGTCATCTCTTCCAAGCTTAGGAATGATGCATCTTAATAAAGAGGAAGTCAGGCAATAATGGCAGGAGGCCTGCATGGATAACAAGGAGCATCTGAACAAACCAAAACACAGAAAGGACTCCTACAGGGTGTGGAAGCAAAACCAGGTAACCTGGGAGGATTACAGAGGGGTTGTCTGAGCCGCTAGGCATCAGGCTACGAAAGGTAGAGTCCTGAGAGAATTAAATTTGGAGAGGGACATCAAAGGAAACAAGGAAAACTGTACATTAATAGTAAAAGAAAGACTAGGGAAAATGTGGGCTCTCTCCAGAAGGAATCAGGACACCTGGTAACCCAGGATATGGAGAAGGCTTTTATTCAATTACTTTTTTGCCTCTGTCTTGACTGGAAAGTGCTCCAGCCACACTGCCCAAGTCACAGAATAAAAAGGCAAGAACTGGAGGAATGAGGAAAACTGTAGGAAAATAACAGATTTGAGACCATCCAAGGAACCTGAGGGTGACCAAGTCCATGGCATCCGATGAGATGCAGCTGTGGGTCCTGAAGGAACTGGTGGATGAAGTGGCTAAGCCACTTTCCATTGTATTTGAGAAGCCATGGTCATCAGGTGAAGTTGCCACTGACTGGAACCCCCACTTTTAAAGAGGGAGGAAAGGAATACCTGGGGAGATACATGTTGGTTAGTCTCACCTTGGTGCCCAGCCAGAACATGGAGCAATCATAATGGAAATTATGCTAAGGCCCATGTTAAATAAGAAAGTGATTTCTTCCAGCCAACATGGTTTCACCAAGGGCAAACCATGTCCAACATATTTGGTACCCTATTATGATGGTGCTACAGCCCTGGTGGATAAGGGAGGAGCAAGTGACATCAACTACCTGGACTTTTAGAATGCACTTGACACTGTCTTGCATGACACCCTTGCTCCTAAACTGAGCAGGCATGGGTTTGACAGATGGACCACTCAGTGCATGAGTGGATGGGTTGGCTAGATGATGACATGCAAAGAGCTGTCACCAATAGCTTGATGTCCAAGCGGAAATCAGTGAGAGGAAATGTTCCTCAGGGGTTGATATGGGGACTGGCACTGTTCACGGTCTTTGTCAGCGACGTAGGCAGTGGAATTGAGTGCAGCCTCAGCAAGTTTGCCAATGTCACCAAGCTGTGTGGTGCAGGTGACACACTGGAGGGAAGGGATGCCAGAGGGCCCTTGGCAGGCTTGAGAGGTGGACCTGTGTGAATATCATATATCTCAACAATGCCATGTAAAAAGTCCTGCACATGGGTCTGAGCAATCCCAAACACAAATATAGGCTGGGTAGAGAATGAACTGACATCAGCCCTGGGGAGAAGGACTTCGATGTGTTGATTGATGAGAAGCTCAGCATGACCCAGCAATGAGTGTGCTGGCAGCTCAGAATCAGCTGTGTCCTGGGATTCACCCAAAGCAGCACAGCCAGCAGGTGAGGAGGGGATACTACCCCTCTGCTCTGCTCTCATAAGACCCCACCTGGAGTGCTGCATCCAGCTCTGAGGAACCCAACATAGGAAGTAAATGGATTTGTTTGAGTGAGTCCAGAAGAGGGTCACAAAAATGCTCAGAGGACTGGAGTACCTCTCTTACAAAGACAGGCTGAGAGAACTGGATTTGTTCAGCATGGAAAAGAGAAGGTTCAGGCAAAACCTTACAGCAGTCTGTACCTGAAGAAGGCCTACAAGAGAACTGGAGAGAGACTTTTTATAAGGGTGTATACTGACAGGACAAAAGGAAATTAAAATGGAAAGGGGGAAGGTTTAGATTAGATATGAGGAAGAATTTTTTTACTGTGAGAGTAGTGAGACAGTGGAAAAGGTTGCCCAGAGAAGTTCCTCGATGCCCCATCCCTGCAAGTATTCAAGGCCAGGCTGGAGGGGCCTCTGAGTGATCTGGTCTAGTGGAAGGTGTCTGGCCCACAGCAGGGGGCTTGGAACTAGTTGATCTTTAAGGACCCTTCCAAACTGTTCTATGATCCTGTGAGGAAATGCTGACCTCTAGCATTTCCTTTGTGCAGATGTGAGACAGGAAGAAAGACCCTTAACTGCAAGTTGTTGCTGACACGAAGGAGTGGAGCAGAGACCAAGCATCACTAAGAGCGGTACTTCAGTGAGTTCAGGAACTGGTGAAGCTTATCTGATTGTCCTGCATTTTCTTATGTGTGTATGTTTGACCTCCTTTAGGTGTCCTCTATTTCTGTAGGAGAGCTTCAGAGCTACTTCAGAACCTCAGCCAAGGAATAAGAGCACTGCAAGTATTTGTTATAGGTAATGTATTTTACTGAACTTGTTATTCTGATAAAGCTTGTCTTGAGGGTAAAGCATTGCACATTTCCAGTGAAATACATAGAACTAACTTTGCAGTTTCACTGAGGGTAGTTACACTGTGTGATCAACCTTGCTCTGGCTGCTTTGCGTGAAGAGTTTCAAAAACCAAGTTTCCACTGAGGTCACTTAAATACAAATTAAAAAATGCAAGGATTGACCTCTATGTCACTGAATGAAACCATATATTTTTAGCAGTTTTGGCAAGCTAGATCAGGAATGAAGGTGGATATTTCAGATGATGTTCTTTAGCTAGGAAAAAAGAATTATAAGACAATCTGAGTCAGATGTGAGATACCAATCCAATTCCATAAAAAGAACATGCATCACAACCCAGTGCATACGCCAAGCCTGAGACATTTGTCTAATGCAAATAGTATCAGCAAAAAATCCTGTTTTGTTAAACAAAACCTTACCTTTCTGCTATGGATTTCCTGGGGAAATAAAAATCCTCTCCTGCGAGGTAGGCAGCTGCAGTTCCACCTCCGAAATAGGTTTTCCTCAAGAGGGGAGCAATCCTGTTGTTTACCAGTAATGCTCCTAAACCAGTTGGGAATCCAAAGATTTTATAGAATGAGATGGGGATAAAGTCAGCTTGGTGAACTCCCAGGTCTAATGGAGAACTGCTCACGTATGAGGCTGCATCTAATAGAACAAACCACTTCCCTGGTAGTTTGATGGGGCAGAGTCTTCCAGATTTTATGTCCTGTATCCATGAAAGGGGATATTTGGTACCAGAAAAATTGCTCTGAGCTGGGTAAGAGAATAGATGAGGTGTTGTGCAGTTTTGTTCTTCTGCTGGTAACCGGCTTTTTGCTAATAAAATTTCCTTTGGTTTTATTGGAACAGACAAGACATTCATTGAAGCAGTTATGCCCCTCATACCAACCACAGATGTGTGGCTGTCAGTTAGGTAACAAAATCGACTGCTGGGTTGCTTTGTGCCTTCAGGTATCCAAGGGAATGATTCTGCTATCAGTTTAAGTGCAGCTGTGCATCCAGATGTGAAAATGATGGTGTAATCCTCAGCAGTAGTGTGAAAGTGTTGCAATATTCTGAAAAAAAGAAAAGAAAAATATCCATTTATTTTCTTATTTTTGTCTTTTATTGCTGTGTGATATATTTTGGCTTTACTCACCATAAGTTCTACTCTGACATCAGATATGAATAGAAGTAGACAAGTTTTGCCAAACAGTACAATAAACCTCCACAAAGGTACCTGAATCATTCTGCCCACAAGAGACTCTTTTCAGTGGTGAAGTGAACGTGGCTGTGTTCTCAAGAAGCCAATTTGCCTGTCTCCAAATAGAGTGGCGATTCTGGTTCCTCAGTGGGATCAGAATCAAGCCTGCATATAATTAAAATTACACTGTCCTTCAGAGAGACCAGTTTTATTTGCAAACTATGAGAGTTTTCAGTTTACAAAATATTTAGAGCAAACAGAATATGCTTCAGTTAAGAAAATCTACTTAAATAGTGGGCATCCAAATTAAGGGTCATAGTATTCAACAGGGAAACCTTAGCAAACAGCTTTGCTCCTTGCTTATGTTATTAACAATAGAAACAGAAGGCAGCAAGAAGTAACCACACATTTCCATGGGCCTTACGCACATAAGGCTGTAATCTCTGCAGTCCACAAAGGTAGCTCAAACCAGAAGAAATCTGATGTTTTCCAAGGAGCCAGACTATGAAAAGTAAACTAGTCTCTGGAGGCATGTCTGTGCTACACATTCTTTGGTATCTTGACAGCACCTTGTTGGCTCTAAACTACCTTTTGTGAATACCATCTATCACAGCTTATGGTACCCATGCTAGGTTGTGCATCTCCTACAGTTTTGTAGTGTGCAAGATGAATCTTTTCAGAGGTTGAGGAACAGCTTCAATTCAGTCACCTTTCTTACCTTTTTCACCTGATGGACTTTCTCCAAAATAACTTTATAAAGCTTCTACTAAAATAAACAGAAAATGTAACAAACATCTGAGAGACATCAGCTCCAGTGAATGGAGCAGAGCAAAGAAAATTGAACCAGGGCATACATATTACTGCTCAGAAAGGCTTTCCAAGCAGCTGTGGAGATCTGTGGAATTCCAAGATAAAGACCAGCATTTAGAATCTACGAACTCTGGTTTCCAAATTAAAAGTTTGCATGTTTTATACAACAGGATATTCCCTTGCTAGAAGAGGCAGAAAATGAAGATTGAAGTGCATTTAAATATAAGTTGCACAAAAGATTATGTGAAAAATTCAAGCTAAAAATCCTGAAACATAGGATAGTGGTGAAATTCCTTAAAATTTTATTCATCCAGTCTGAAACACAAATGCTACAGGCAAAGGGTTTTAGAGCTGGGTGGTGGGTGCAGCAGTCACATATTAAACACTGGAAAAGAAACAATTGCAATGGCTTTAATGATTTGCACTAAAAAACTACCATAAAAAGGCCCACTTAAATGTTATTAATGCTTTTATCAGATGAAGAAAACTTATAGTACTGGCAAGTACAGGATGCAACAGATGGATTCATAGGCCCAAATGAGACTTGACTTTCTTCAGAATGTAAATTTTTGAAAACTGATGCAAATGGTAGGTATTTTATGTCTTCTGAAAATGAAGAAAATACTGCAATTCTTATGAAGAAGCAGGTCATGGATTTAGGCCTTAAAAATGCCAAGAAATAGTTTGAAAAAATTATTAAGAATCTTTCTGAAACAGACGTGCCAGGGAATAATTGCTTCAAGCATTCACAGCTCTGGACATTAATTTTTAAAGACTGTCTTCATAGAAACAAAATTTTCCATTAGAATCTAGAAACCCTGTTAGGGCTGAAGACAGGAACAATCACAGACATTTTTGTATTGGGTTTTGAGGTGACAGCCTGCCTCATTCCTTGCTGTGACCTGCTTTATCTGGCCACTGAATCACTCTCCTTTCCCCCTGCACAAAGCCACGCAGCCTTTCCCTCCACCACCTGCTTTGCAGCCTGGAGCACGTGTATGTCATATAGGACACCTGAGTGAAGGAACCTGAAACCCTTAGCCCAGATGGCTCCAGGGCTAACACTCAGAACCATGCCCTGAATTTCAGCCCTGATATCACTCTGCCTTTATTCTTCTTTCCATGCATTTACCTAGATACAGAAAAGGTGGAAAGCAGAAAAAGCAAGAGTTCTAATTTCGTCTTCAGGGACAGAGAAGGAAAGCATTATACCTCTGTTTCTAGGGAAAAGGAATGGTGGAAAGTGGATTAGAAAGGAGGTTGGGTCTTTGTGGTTATGGGCATATTTTATGTATTATCTGATTTGGCTTATTTTTGTATGCTCTACAGTCATATAGGATAGATTTTGAGATCATCACACTGATATAAACAAAGGTTGCATAAAGGTTGTACAATTCCAAGAAAAATCAACAACAACAACAAAGTATCCAACTTGGTCTATTTTTACCTCTGTGAGCTATAGGACAAGTTATGTATTCACATATATGTGTAAACACAGAATACATTTTGAGGAAAAGACTTGGTGATAGGAGCAAATTCTTAATATGTAACTTCTTTTCATAAGAGTCAGCTAACAAGAGCAACACCAAAAAGCAAGCTGAAGGCTATTATCAAGTTTGCTCCTCTTTTACTCTCGATAACTTCTCTGTTCTTCTCCCCACTTAGCCTCTTTGTGCCACACAGGCTCAATGCAAGGTGAGACACAATGGGTAAAAAGTGAAATTTTGCATAAGAATAGCACCTGGAGCTCTCCACTGGAACTGCACTTGCTTACCACAGGACTTAATTTGACCAAAAGACTATAAATGACTATAGCTGGAATGCAACAATGGTGGAATGGGATTTAATAATGGGATGCTGTCATCCAACCATGAATATCAGAGCCAGTGACTACTTTTATTAAACATTTTCAGCATTCTACAAAACAATAAATACTATTTTGGATTGTTTAGGCTCACAAATAGTGACAGCTCTATGTTTAATTCATAAATGAGTGATACAAAGCTCATTGGTATTTTAACTATATTTAGTTTTAATTCATTCAAATTCAGAAATAGCAGAACAGTTCTGAAATAAAATCCCTGACACAACACTGATGTATTATCTATTCAGTTCAGTACCAAAAATTGACTTTCACATGAAAAAAAATCAAGATTTAGGGTTAATTTTTAGAAATCTCCAAATAAATTAGATGCTTTTTTTAAAGCTATTTCAGTTCCTAGAGCTAGAGAAACAACCAACTTATATTTCTAATTTACTTAGATAGGAAATAGATTCTTTTGTGAGTCAAATTAGCTACCTATTGAATTTTGAGTCTTCAAATGCCTTATAAAATTGCTATGACTCCAGTTCTTGCAAAAGAGGTGGAAATTTTCAGGTCAGACTTACATTTTGATTGAACTATTTCTAACCTTAAAAAGCAAAATAAATAATAAAGCAATAGCAATGAGTTCAGGGAATTTTCTTCTCCAGAATGACTTGACATGCAGACCAGAAAAGCTGCAAGAACCTCAGAATAAGGTTTATAAAATGAATACCACAAACTCTTGAACTAGAGCAGCAGCGCCATGATGAAATCCAAGTACTCAGGGACAGAAAACTGCAAAACGTCTCCATGACTTCTGCAGCCCACAGTCCTACATCCTCTGTTTTGACATGGATATTGGGAAGCACTGGCTATTACACACAAAATTCCTAATGCTGTCTGTCTTTGTGCAAGACATTCCCCATTACAGTGAAATGTAGTACACCTTTATTACACTCCAGAAAGATTTATAGCCATATATAAGGTCGCCGTTGGCAGCAGGACTAAAGACTTGCAGTGGAAAACTGATAACTTGATCTACTACAGCTGACAGCTGCAAAGAACAGTAGCTTTTTATAGCATTACAAATTCCTACTTTTCAAAGGACTCTTTGGAGGAAACGACTAAGAGGGTAATTGTTTCATGAAACCTGTGGATACCACTTGCCATCACTTGTGAGATGGCAGAAAGGCTGAGGAGGCAGTCCCTTGCTGCCAGGCTGGCAAGGTGAGGGAGGAAGCTGCAAGCTCCATCTTTGCAGGATATTGAAGGCCCATCACAAGCAGCCACCTCTTCTCCTTGTCGTCTCAACATCACTAGGAGCACTGATTGTGACATAGATCATGCAACCCGTCCAGAGAGAAGGCACTGAAATTGCCTTTAGCTTGACCACATTTCCCTGTGTGTGTTTGTATTCTGAGACCTCTCTGATAGCTGGTGCTTAATAATTTTTAAAAGTTACCAGGAGACTTCTGCATCTTTACAACAACAGCTGAGCCAAAATGCCCTTCCACTTCAAAGTAAACACTGGCAAAGAAAGTCAGTTTTCATCCCAACCAAGCCTGCTGTCTCATTTTGTATGCTTAACACACACAAAATTAGTAATGAGTTTTATACTTGAAGATTTCTATAATCAAGTCATATATTTAGATGGAATAGTCGCATTATCTAATTTATCTAATCCAAAAGCCCAAACTAATAGTTTAATTAGAACTATCACTCCACAGTGCCACTGGCAGCTCTGCAGAAGGTAAAGGTAAAATTTGTTCAGCTACCTTAGGGACACAGTGACACCCAAAGTTAGATAAGAGAGATGCTCTCCAAAGCTGCTGCCTGGCTGCCCTTCCCTCATGCAAGAAGCTCCATGTTCCTCCTTGCCATCAGCTCTTTGTGGCTCTCAGCAGATCAGCAGCAAACAAACTTATTCCCATATTACACTATTTCCATTACAGCCTCCCAAAATTCAGCTGACATGGCTCTTCCATGCTGCTAGGCTTAAAATATGTTCAAAATATATTTTACATCAGTGTTTCTCTATTCAAATCTACCATTTGAAAAAGCTGTAAAAAGCTGAAAAGCAACTTATATTGCTAGGTTTTCTTCCCTCCATACTTTAGTTCCAATTGATGCAAACATTTCTATATCTAGTTGGCAATATCAAATATGGTCAAGGAGTTTGTGGTTTATATGCTTTATATTTGTATTCACAATTTTATTTAGATTGTATGAGTTTCCATAAATACGAGTACAATGATTCT